GACATTTTGTCATGTCTCTTGGGGTTCTTCCAACATTGGAAAACATTATTATTATTTATTTGCTTTTTAGAATCAAATCCTGTCCTATCCAGATGGTCAGAGCAGCTTTAAATAAACCAGCATCTTACAGATAGGATTCCCTCAAACAATACCCCAAAACCCAAGAACTCCAGTTTTTCCTGCTCCCTACCACCTCCCCTCTAGTGCCCCCAAATATCTGTACTTAGCTTATGAGTTAGATTATTTTCTGGGAGAGGCAAGGAGTTCTCAGAGCGATATCTTTTATTGGACCAACTACATAGTTGGTCTAAAGTTAAACAAGCTTTCGAATGCAGACATTCTTCATCAAGCCAGTGATCAGTGAGAATGCTTTGCATTTGAAAGATTTTCTAATTTTGGACAAACTATGTAGCTGAGTTAATAAAAGATATGGCCCTAAGAAATCCTTACCTCTCGCAGAATATCTGGGCCATCATGCTTACAACATCACTCTTACACTACTGTTATTTTCTAATTCATTCATTGTTAACAGAATTAAGTTAGTTCTGATTTCAAGATGCTTATGCATTTTGTCATCTTCAGATTATGGGCTTGATTACTCCAGTACTCCCTTACTAAAAGCAATAGTAGCTCAGGTCTAATCAAAGGTGGTATTTGATTTATAGGTTCTTTTTATTGCTGAAGTGTTCATCTGTCAGTGGTTCTACATTGAATTTTCAGGGCTTTTAGCTAGACAGAACAACATTTTATTTAAAAAAAAATAGCAACAGGATGTAGAAATTGGACACACACAAACCTAGAATCTCTCATACTCTCTTTCTTCCAAGTTACATTGGAGAAACTTCCTTTATAGTTATTACATCTAGAATGGAATATTCTCTTATGATTTTCCCCACAGGTGTAAGAAACAGTGGTTAAAATAATATTCTAATATCACTCCATAATTTAAATTTACCGTAAACAAGTTCATTTCTCAGATTTCAGGAAGTCTTATTTTGTCTGTGCTGTGCATAAATTGTAATTGGTTCAAATTTGTAAAAAAAAAAAAAGAAAAGAAACCATGTAAAATTCTAGTATGGTAAATGCAGTAGGCACTACCAATAGTAATCATCTCAAAGGGCTTTGCTGTCTAAACAGTATTGACTTTAGATAAGAATTGGAGATCTTTACTTTAGGCATTCAGGAGTACAGAAAAATGATAAAAGTTTGTTTTATTAATTTGATGCATCAGTGCATATATTAAGGTATAACATATAGCGAATAACTATTTATAAATATGAACTTTCCTTCTAGATTTCCAAATGCAGGAAAATCCTCCTTGTTAAGCAAGATTTCTCATGCCAAACCTCAGATTGCAGATTATGCATGTAAGTACAGTCTGTTTCATTGCTTTTATGTTGGTCAAGAACATACGGCGTTTCTTATGACTTGATTGCACACTTTCAAAAAGAAAAGGGGAGTCGGGGGGAGGTTTCCAAAGGTATATGAATACACGTGTTGCCTATCAAGGATAAGGAGATTTTAAAGTAATAAAAGTGTCATAGAGTTATAGCTTAGGGCACGTCTGTGGTTCTAGGCAGCAATAGAATAGCTAGAGGTGGGTGAAGAGGGACCAGGTAGCAGGGGGGACAGGGGGATTGGTGGGAGGAAGTAGCACAATGGAGGCAAGGGTTCACCAAGATGGACTCACCTATGCTGCTGCTTCAGGAGTTACAGGCTTCAGCTTTGTGGACTGGTTCAAGGATCTAGGCAGTGATATAGTGGGGCTCTTGGATCCTGGTGGCTATGTGCTCAGGAAAAAGAGAGAGCAGAGACAGCCCCCACGAACAAATTATGAATTTTATATCTTTGCCAATCATGACACTTAATTTCTTGGCTGCCGGGACTCTAGGGCCCTCTTGCCTCTACCCCCTGGGACCCAGACACCAGCCAGAGACCATAGCTGCAGAGTGTACAGATCTTACCAGATATGGCTCTGGTCCTTTCCCCACCCATCAGTGCCCAGGACAATGAAGAAGCTTGCTGTATAACACCAGACTAAGACACCCACATGTACTAACTCCTAACTGGAAGCAGCATAGCCCTGTACAGTCAATTCCCTCTTTTTCCATAAGCATTGCATGTGGAAGTAGAGTTGCCACTGGTAAATCATGCAGTAAAACAACACTTGTCTTCCATTACACTCCAGTACCTCCAAAAGTTGTATTTATTTGTCAGATCATATTGCAGTCAGTTTTGTTGGAGAATTTCCATTAAGCAGTAGTAAGATGTTTAAGCAAATGCAGTAGTGCCTGCCTGCTGCTGCTTCTCCCTGTCTGCTTACGGCTCATCAAATATGAAGGAAACAGGCAGAATAATTTACCATCTAACATCACTTCCATGTGGGATTATAAAACCTTCTTCTGCCAGTCATATGGATGGGACTAATCGGTATCAAGGGGGCCAGTCCCATTATTTCACAAACACCCCCCCCCCCCCCCCACCACACAA